CCTCACTTAGTCGATCCATTGTAAATCCAAAGGCTTGTTCGTCGAAGGTGATGTCACGACTGATCACCACTTGCCCCGCCTCAATGTCGTACACTCGGTAAGCCTTCGACGCTTCTTCGTAGCCCATGAATATTCCGACACGAGCTTTCGGGTCCCACTTGAGCCTTTTCTCTCTTGGTGTCAGGATGTATGCTTGGCATCCAAATACACGCATGTGCTTGACACTCGGCTTGAAGTTGCAAATAATCTCGAATGGAGTCTTGTGGCTGATTTTGGGCGACGGCAGACGATTCTTGATGTAGATAGCTGTCATAGCCGCTTCAGCCCAGAAAGTCTTGTCTAGCTTCGCATGATGCAGCAAGCTGCGCCCGATCGTGACGATAGTCCGAATAGCACGTTCTGCAGTGCCGTTGGTCTGATGCGCATACGGGACGGTAGTCTGCTGTTCGATGCCTTCGTCCTCGTAGAAATTCATGAGCGAGTTGGTAGCAAATTCTCGAGCTCCATCATGGCGAACGAACTTGACTTTCTTGCCGAATTGAGTCTGGATCTTGACGATGTAGCTTTTGATGTGGCCTTCGCTCTCCGACTTGGCACGCAAACAGAAGCCCTTCATGCACCCGCTGGCTTCGTCGACAATCAAAAGCAAGTACCTGCTGCCGCCAATGGAAGTCTGCTCCATGGGGCCGCAGATATCGAGGTGAAGCAGCTCGAAAGTGTTGTAGGCACGCTTGTCACGGTTTCTTGAGAACGGTTTTTGGACCATTTTTCCTTGTTTGCATCCGCGACACACACATGGACCACTCGAGCTGGATGGTATCTTTGCGTCTTTGATCATGTTACTGTTCACCATCTTGTGAAGAACATCGATTGGTGCGTGGCCCATGCGCGCATGCAGGTCAATTTCCCTCCGTTGCTTGTTGCCATGTTGGCCGACCGTTGCGGAGTGTTCGTAGCCAGTAAAGTCCGTACACAAGATCCGCTGCTGCTACGACTTGTGTTGAATCCTTGCGCACGACGTGCATCGTGGCACCATCGAACACAACTTGAAACTTGTCAGTCTTGTTGATCTGCGTTACCGAAAGCAGGTCTCTTGCTCATACTTGGCACGAACAGCGCATCCTTGATTTTGATCTCGTGTTCTTGGCCATTGGGCAGCACCACTCGTTCCAGAATGGTTCCAACACCCTTGATAGCAGCCTTTCTGCTATCAGCCACCCATAGCTTGTCTTCATCTTCTTCTTTGATGCTTGAAAACTTGGTTTTTTCGCTACAGATGTGTGTGCGTTGCGCCGCTGTCGACCGCCCACATCCCTGGCATATTCTTGCCCGTCGAAATTCCGCACTAGAGCGATTGTGGTGAAGCGGGGTTCACAAAATTTCTGATGTGACCCTGAATCTCCACTGGCGCCCGGACAACCGACTATAGGAGGGGTACTCCGTTTCCGTGTAAATCAATTCCTCATCTTGTGTACCCGTCGGTAGGGCGGGTAGCACTCTTCTCGGTGGACTTGAGTTGATGCTGAACTTGACCGTGGTTGGGATTGGTCGGGGTTTCGATCACGCGGAAATCTTCACGCGATCGAGGGTTACTTGGAAACTCGATGTGAGTCGCCCTGATCTCTCTTGAGATCGCCTTGTCCAAAAATGTAGATACTTGATCCACTTGATCCACTTGATCCACCTGACCTGCTGACCACTTGAGCCGTCTCGCGATCTTGTGCCTTGTCCTTTACGTGATACTGCGTCCAATCGCAGGCGAAGTTTGTTTGTAAGAGGTCTTGTAATCCCTAGCCAAACAATCCATGGATATTACTTGTAGGTACTGATGGCAGAAGCTCTTGATCGTCGGGGGCCAAAAATTTTCCCCACCCGGAAGAGAAGTCTGCGTGCGTAGTTCGAAGTAAAAGAAACTCTGTTTAATGTTAATCAATCAAATACCAAAACCTATGATCTTGCCTATCTGTAGCCCAGGATCTACTGCCGCGCGTCGTCCTTCCGAAAAAATCAGATCTCGATATGTAGCCCATTCTAATATAGCGGCGATCTCACTTTTTTAATTTTGATGTCAATCATGATCGCCTTTGTCGATCGTGATCGCATTCGTTGATCTGATCGCAAATATATTTATGCTGATCTGATCGAAATTATATCCATGCCAATTACTTCAATCGAGATCCCGATCAATGATGATCGAGCATAAAAGGTATACATGTAGTCGTAATCTTCACTTGGGCTGTAATGATCATATGCGATCGATTGATCGACCTGATAAAATCAGATCGATCCCATAGTATAACAAAGTAATTCCGACGATCAATTGATCGATAAAAGAACTTAATCGCGCCCATAATATAACCAAGTATAATCTAATCCCATAATATCGATCCAATTCATGTATGTGATCCACACTCCAATTAATTTCCCACTGTTGATCAAAAATCCTTCTATCGACTTCGCCACACGATACAGCGAATGCAACTCGATCAAAGTCGTCGTGGTCGTCATCGCCTCGCCATTGAACATTGTTGGCCCCGCGTCCACGGCTGTTGCCGCCGCTTCTTGGGCCTCAATTGTCATCTTTTTGTTTGCTCCAGCATAGCTCCACCGTGTGGCCCACTTTGCCACAATATGTGCACTGGCGAGGTCCTCGCTCGGCACTGAACGCCTTTGCTGCGTCTTCAGTTTTCACCAATGTCGTCTTCTCGCCTTACCTCATTTGTGAGCACCTTCACAACGTCTCGTGATCGCAGTTCCGCGCTGCTCATCTCCAAGTTAAGTACGACGTTCTCGTAGCTCTTAAGAAGGCTGCGCAACAAGCAGATCGCCACGTCTTCGTCCTCCATCTTGGCGCCGATGCTGCTGAGCTTCACGCTGATGTTGAGAACGCAGGAATAACAAGTAAGGGCAAGGCAAGCAAGAGCAGGA